ATTATTGGGTACTTGGACTCTCTGGAATGTGCATAAACTCCTCAGAGGAGCCTGGATCTACAATGGTCGTGTAGGATTTCACGCGAGCTTTTGTTCCAAGGAATTTTCCCATCAATGAGTCCCACGTGCTCTTCGTAGTCTCGCGCTACTTTGGTTGCATGTGTGGATTCCGGGCCGTAGGAAGACTTCCTGACTCTTAGAACTTTGTGTTGTTCAATTTGCTGCTGTAACATATTTGTGCCCAGCACGATGCCGCATAGTAGAAGGAGCTTGCTTAAAAATGCACGCCGGATGAGAGAGCCGCCTCCTTTTCTTCGTCAGCCACATCCATCTCTATAGGGTCTCAACATGGGGAACCTTCGAGCAACTCTCCTCTTGAAGAAGCTGTTCCTTTTGAAGATAGCCAATTGACTGTGGGTATACTTTCACATTGATTCCTTGATGTTTTCGGCATCACCGTCTTCAAAGAATCAGAGGTTCCCGCTGAACATGATAAAGACAGATAGCCAAAGGGCGCGCAACAAATGCTGCAGCATGTCAGGTTCTTGGGGAACTACAGGGGTCCCAGTCAGTCTGGGCTGCTGTTGGGTATATAGTAATTAAAACGGTTTCCTCATCATAGTGACTTACTTCATGTTCCTTAACAGCATCCCAGTAGGACGTGCGCGGGGGTTTCAGCCAGATCAAGTCATCAGCCTTGGCTACGATGCCATGCAACTAGCGAGCCCGCACAATACTATCAAGGCTGAGTGCTGAAATATAGGAGCCTGAATGCTATTCTCCACTACCTGCTAAGTAACCCACCTGCAGCCGGAAGCTTCAGGGTACTGACAGGATCAGAACGCTTGTAGACATGCTGTAAGGCATACATCCCCTGACCTCTGGTCACCCTGCTAGTGCACCTAATGTCCCAATTCTGAATATCTTCTGCTCAACTCGATACGCCCAAACTGCACACTCTCAGCCCTCTGTGAGGCTTCTTCCTTGTGCTGCGCTCGATCTACGTCAAGTGGAAGTGCCTCTGCAGTGCTTACGCGGGGCAGGGTGGTATAGCTAGAATAAGTTGTATTCTTTTTTGATGATGCTTTGAGGTGTGTTGCACTGGGAGTTCTAGAAGGATTCATGTTTTCCAACTTTTGCTGTTTCTAACGCAGCCTACGTTAACGCACTGAAGACTGAAGACCCAGAGCAGCACGACAACGGCCTCCTGCTTCATCGTATGACTAGGCCATGAAGTTCCAGCTGCCGGGATTTCCAAGATTGCATACTGTATGCCGTAGAAGCTCGCGTTCTCTCATCTCCAGTGTGGACGCGATTCAGTTATTTGCTCTACGGGCCGCAAGATGTTCGTTAGAGCGTTTGACCCCACACCCAGGGGCCTTAAACATTTAGCCTCCATCCCAGAGATCAAGTTCCGAAAGCCCAACTTGGAACCCTAAGCCTGAACATCCAATCTTAATCCCCAACCCGAGACATTAGAAGATTTCGGGATGGCTCAAGATGCCGGCCTAGAATTCTTCCATGCATATCACAGGGCCCCATCAAGCAAAACAAAATCAAAATAGGAAGAGAAGCCACCCACTGGGTCCCTGCCAGGTACGCGACATTCCACCACACCAAGGAGCCCAGCATGCCACCGGAGAACTTGCTTCTGTTTTACGCGGGGTCCTCGGCATTTGCCTATAAGGCTTACATCAAAACCTGGGCTTGTGTACAACAATGTGTTGGTGAAGACTGTTTTATAGTATAGGCAGTATAGGATAAAATGGAAAGTAAAAAGGGGATAGGACGTAAGCCTAGAACTGAGGAGGAGGGCCCGCCTTGGTTCCTGATTTTGCTGCCTTTGCGGTCTCTACAGGTGGAGGGCATTGGGTCAAAAACGCTGCGATTGAAGGAGTTAAGTCTCAGCTCAGTGGGGCTTCTTGAGCCTGAATTCCGTAAGGGAGGTTTCCCGGGTTCTGCGCAATTACCCTGGCGCAATTACCCTGAACTTGCAGTAGCTGAAGAACCTCTGAAGCAAAATCGCAAGGCCTGAATCCCTGAAGCCCATCTGAACCGTGTACCCTAGCACGGCCCAAGTCCAAAACCTTAGATTTACGGGTGCTTCAGGGAGAGTGGGGGACTGGCTCCCTATAACCCAACCTTGCAAGATCCTTTCAGGGTTTACGGTTCAGGGCATTGGGTTTAGGGCTTATGAGTGTCTATCTTCACTACCCTAAACCCTTAACCCTAAACCCTAAATCCCCCAAACCCTAAACCCTAAGCCCTAAACCCTAAACCCCTAAACCCTGAACCCTTCAACGAGGCAAACGCTCGCCCCACTCTGCATCGCTTCCGTAGCTTCCCGTCACCCATGCTCCAGGCTGGGCGTGGCAGATTGGGTGTTTGTCAAAATTATGGTGCCCATTAGGGTAATATTAGGGTTTAGGGTTTAGTAATATTAGGGTTACATTGGGGTTATATGGGGGATACTGGAAAAGAAAATGGAAATTACTATACGTAATGGGTTATATGGGTGGTTGTCAAGATTCTGGTCCTTTTTTGGGGTACCCTAAATATTAGGTGCCGTATTACAGTAGGGACCCAAACAGGGACCATTATTTTGACAACCACCCATATGGTCCTCTGAGATTTAGGGATTGGGGTCTGGTTTCTGGTCTACGTTATAGGAGTTTTGCAGGATTTGTGGCTTAGGTTTTGGGTTGGGGTGTCGAGTTTAGGGTTACTGCTACCATTAAGCCCGGAAAATCCGCAAAACAAGCCAACTTGTGTGGAGATCCCGGAGTCCTCTTGCCAATCACCTTGGTAACAACACTGCATGACATTCGCTCTCCGTGTATGCTAGAGGACTCCCGGTATAGCGGAATCTAGAGCATGACAATACCTCCATCGGCATTTTGGGATCATGCCTTTTGCGCCTCAAGCTTCATGCTTTCAATGCAATCTTTCCATCAGTGCCAGGAACCTACAACCTGCAGACAGGTGCAGTGAAATAGTGGTGAGGGGCCCTCACAGGCTAGTTCTTGATGTGCTGGCAACGACTTTGCGCCACAAATTGCCTCAAGCCGGCAATCATCCCATGACTACAGAGCACTATAAGACTGGATCACAGGTAACTTTAGGCCAAACCCAGACCTTGAGCTGAGTTTACGATCTGCTTTTAGCAGGTCCTGGACTGTGTCTTTGACAGCGGACTGCGCGATGTGGAATTGCATGGGATGGGTCCTCTGGGAACAGAGGACAGGGTCAGCAGGTAGGCTTTAGGGACTTTATGGGGTGTAGCTTAGGCGGCAGGATTTTGGGAGTTGAGGATGGTTCAGGGGTTTCGGGATTTTGTGTTTTCCAAAGCCATGTCTGGAGTTCATCGTGTTGAGGCATTGGTTCCTGGGCGGATTGTTTGGAGATGTCCCGACATTGTCAGAGATCACTTACTGGTTCTTAGTAAAGAACATCTGCATCTATTATGTAGACTATGAGCTACAGTCAATATTTCCTACTCAGCTCTTTACTAGGGATTGTGTTGGGGACTAGACGAAACTACAAGAGGAACCCTTATATCCAGAAAAAAATCCCTGAATTAGGCTAATATTGACAATAGATCCTACAGGGATCTGAGAACCAGTAAGTTGAGGGTTTAGGATTAAGGTTTCGCCTTCCCCGGAGGGTCCAAGTACCCAATAATTAGGTACTTGGGTTTTGGGTAATAGTATCTATAGTCTAGGTTTTGGGTAAGTATATGATTATTAGGTACTTGGACCCTTAGGGTTCTCTGGACTTCGGATCAACTCGAGGATGGCTTAAGCAGCAGAGCGTTTAAAGGCTCTTGCTGCAGACGTTTCGAATTTGTGTAGGGTGAAGGTCTACGGGATTGCTGTCGGGAAACTCCAGTTGAGCTGCCATTGGCGCCGACACCATGTCATCTACTGTACATGTATTCCGGTAGCCTCAGCCTTAAAACTAAACTACATATACCCTTGTTACGGCAACTTAAGTCAAATTCCTTAACCACGGCCCAGTGTACGGGTCTTTAGGATTTTAGGACCATGCCAAAGTGCTTGGAATTTCGACCTCCAGAGTCATGCTGCTCTGGATTGCTGCGAAGGAACTCAAATTTAGTTACCATAATTTGGGTATGTAGTAGATAATCGGGTTTCCCTGGTTTCCCTATCATAACAGCTTAAGTTCCTTCACAGCAATCCAGCTTTATGAAACACGCCGCCGCGGCATCCCTATTACAAGTTCTTCTCACATGAGCCTATGCTTCAGGACCTGTACAACCTCACAGAGTTTACCTACCTGCTACCAGCTCTTAGCTCAGAGAGTCTGCCATGCTTTGCTATGCGGATCTTTCTGGGGAATTGAGGATGCAGACTTGGGTGTCGGTGTTTACAGTATGGGGTCTAGTGCTTCAGTGCAGGACATGAGGCAAGAAGCGGGCTGGGACCTTGTTGCCAATGCTATGACTGCTACTCCTGCGAGTGATGATGCCGCACATGTTGTTACTGATGGCAACCACTTTATGGACAAGTTCACCGAGAATCATAACGCAAGAGAAGCATCAACATGTACTTAATGAACAAGAGTCAACAAGAGCACCATCGCATTCAAATTGTTCTTTACGTGTGCTGTCGTCTTTCTGCCATGCAATAGAAAGCCGTATAACTGCTTCAAGCACTGGCACTCATGCCATTGTCATATTCATTTGTACGGTGGGCTTGGTAGCTGGCAGCTGTTTCAGTTAGGATCCCCCAGCTAGCCGGTAACTTTCCCCACACAACACCGACTAAAGCCAACCCAGAACCCCAAACCCTCAAGCCAAGCCCTAAACCCTAGACTCAACCCCAATATATCCCCAACATAACCCTAATATAACCCCAACATAACCCCAACATAACCCCGACATAACCCTAATACAACCCTAATAGAATCCCAACATAACCCTAATATAACCCCCAACAGAACCCCAACTTACGACTGCAAAGTTTCAGCCCCACACTCTATATGGTAAACGCACTACCTGAACCCCTAAAGTATGTAGAATAATTGCCTTTTGGGCTGTTTTTGATGGTTTTAGGCTATTATTTTACCTACTTTGAGGGTTCAGGTATTTAGTTTCCAGGTAGCATCGCTGGCCTCGTGGCTGATCGAGGAAGCAACCCTGAGCCAGGCGAGAATTTGAGTAGGTTTATGGTTTAGGGTTTAGGGTTAACTGGATGGCTTTTGAGGAACTTAAATAGAGTTACTATGGGAAATAATGGAGGTTCCTTATTATAGTAACAAAAGCTAATAGCAACTTAGCTTAAGTTCCTTAACAGCAACCCAGTTAAGGTTTAGAGACTCACTGCTGCCTTATTAGGAGTTGGGGAACGGAACAGCGCAAATGGGAAAGACTGTAGGGTTGTAGGTTTCAGTCAGGCTTAGGGTGTCAGGGTTTTGGATTTAGGGTTACCAGGATAAGACGGAGGCAGTGCCAAAGTATGGTGCATATCTTGAGGGCTTCCTTCATGTCCAGCCTCTTTGGGGATCACGAAAGGTTATCTTTGCTGAGCATCTCTTTATCCGATTTTTCCGTTTATAAGGGAATAGGATGTTAGATCAGGGCTTGGAGCTACCCTAGAAGCTAAACCCTAAGGCCTTAGACTGACTTGGAGCTGGAAGCTCTTGACTTAGGGGGGATCAGGAGGTGTGAGGGTTGGCATGCCTAATCCATCTAGCATGGATTTGAGGTTGATATGTGGGCCGATGCGGTGTGGGGAACTTAGTATAGTGGGGTATTATAGTTTATTACATGGGCTGAGCAAGTTCAGTGCATTCATGTCAGTGTGTCAAAATCACAGTATTCCCTGTCACAGGGGGTTTATGATAGAGGTCCTAACCTGGGCAACACACGCATGCAGTCGAGACTGCTCGTCAAGAAGACCAGGTGCAGAGCTAAATCTTTTAGGCTTTAAAGGCTTCAGAGTATAGGGGCCTTTGCAAAGATTGGTAGCCCTTGCACCGAGTCCCCTACCCTGGCCCTGCCAGTGCTTAAGGGGGAGCGCGAGACAAAAAAAGATAGATGCCATAATGGGGGTATATATTGGGGATTCTTTACGGACGGTTGTAGAGATTCACGCTCCCACTTCCCCTTCAGCAAAAGTAGGTGGCCTCTGGTAATTGAATCCCACAACAAATCTGGCAATGCTCGGCCTCCTGTGAGGGGCTTTTCCCCCAGACGGGAACGGGTGCAGGCACGGCCGTTGCCTCAGAGATGGCTACCGCAAACATAAGTGTCCTGTTTAGGGCTGGCAGACACTGTATTACAGCCTTATATAACCCCTATATAACCCATTATAGTAATTTCCATTTTCTTTTCCATTATCCCCATAGAGCCCCACTATATATGGTTAAAGGCTTCGAAGGCGTGGGATGATTTAAACAACATGAGGAGCCACTGACAGACCACCAGCGCGGAAGCTAGCTGTGTGCTTAGAGTGTGACTTCTATGCAATCCTTCGAAGCTGAAGAGAACTGATAGAAGGCCAACTTCCCAAAAATCCGAATCCCAACTCTAAGCCCCAATGCTGCAGCCCCAAACCGTAATTTAACCCCAACGCCAAATCTTTCAGCCTCAAGCCCGCAGCCACAATCAGCAGAATATGCAGATACGTTCTTGTTGGAAACTGCCAACAGATGATGAATTGAGGCCTCCAGGTCCTAAACCCTATCTTCCAGTGGTTCCATTCATCCAACAACTTATGGTCACTATAAAAAAAACGCAAGGAGTGGAACATGGACAGTCCTTACCAAAGTGATCTCAAAATCTTGAATTTCATGATACTAAAGTTCCCAAGCCCCCAAGGTTTGAGCTACCTACAGCCATTAGTTTGTGAAACATTTTCTTACTGGGTATCAGTAGGGACTAGGGGCACATGTGACATAGGGGTTGTATAGAGATTATACTTCCTTATTCCCTACTTAACACAAGTAAGGCATTTGGAGCTGCAACTGCCCTAAACCGTAAACCCTAAACCCTTAACCCTGAGTTCTAAACCCTAAATCCTAAGCCCTAAGCCCTGAACCCTAAGCCCTCAACCCCAAACCCTAACATCCCAGGCCCTGGGTATGTCTCTGGAAGCAGCCGCGGCGTCCGCAGCAGAGGGTGCTGCCACGGTGGTAAGCTCAGAGCTATAGACTGATTGGATGCTCCTAGGTAGTTACTAGGGACTTGCGGCTTAGGGTTAAGGGTTTAGGGGCAAGGTAGGTAGTAAGGATTTAGGGTTAAAGGTATGTGGTTTAAGGCTACGGGTTTAGGGTTTCGGCTTTAGGCTTTAGGGTTTTAGGGTTCAGGATTTCAAGTTTTTAGGGTTTTGGGTTGAGGCTTTTGGGATCTAGCGCTTTCATTTTGGGGTTTGATGTGGTTATAGCTTTGAATGTATGGGCCAGAAGAAGCGCTCTTGGTGCTCGATAACGGCCGTTCTGGCTCCCGGCATAAAACATGTCCCGAAGCTGAAAAGTGTGTAGGCTCAGTATGAAACGAGAATCAGAGACAAAAAGCTGGGTTGCTGTTCAGGAACTTAAAATCAAGTTACCATAATGTATATATATAAAAAGAGTATATAATAAGCCTTCCCCATTTAGTAACTTACATTAAGTTCCTTAAATCCCAAAAATCCACCAGTTTCCATTTCATTTTCCACTTTCTTTTCCATTCGATTCTCCATTATAGGGGATACTACTGTTGATGGATGAAATCTTGCACCACATAGGGGCCTTAAACTATCGTAATTCATAGGACTCTAGGGACTTAAAGTGGTGCAAGACTTCCTCCATCAACAGTATAAGAATGGAATTGCACAGAAGCTGGGATTGGAGTGGTCCGCAGGGTTGAAGGTAGGAAAATCCCAAGTCATAGCCAGGAAGCATCTTGTAATTCCTTAGGGTTTAGGGTTTAGTAGAATTTGATGATAGATCGCACTATTGTGTCGTAATATAAGATGTACCGAACTTCTTGGAGGGGAATGGTACATGTCATAGGCATCAAGTTTAGATAATGGTGTAAGAACTGATTTGGGGAAGTCTTAAACGAAGAATGCGGCGAGCGCAGGCGGTTTTCGGGGGTTTAACTTAAAATGGAAGTTTCCAGAAACAGGGGGACTCCAATGTAGACCCCAATATATTGTAATTCCTAGTACATGGAGCCCATTGTAGGTCACGCAGAGGGGTACTGGGGTCCCTCTAAGAAGGATACTGTATTAAT